TGTACATTTACTCACAGTGAACATGTACATGTACTGGTAGACTTTGGTTTTTACTTTGGTTTGATTTGATTGCCTTTCCATTACATTGCACAAACTCCATTGATTTGGATTGATTTTACAGTAGTTGATTGGAATGGAATTAAATTGAAGGATTAGATTAGATTGGATTGGATCAGATTTCATTCTAGTCAGTTTGATTTGACTTGGTATAAGGGTTTAATGTTAAGATTAATGTACATAAATACCTATACACACGAATACATTATACATGTTTGTACATGTACATGCATAGAGTACCGTATAAGTTTATATATACACATACATGTATGAAATAAAGACAAATTATAGACATAAATTATAGACCTAAAAATCAGAGGTTTATACAACAGTTCATTTATTTGGTTGTATACCAGTACAATTTCCAATTTCATTGGGAAAAAAAACCCCTTGCAGTGACAGTAACCAAATACCTACCGGTATAACCCAACTCCCCCAAACACAAGTAACACTACGTGTATGTATTTTGTCATACATGTACATGTAGTCTGTCGGTTTTATACCGTATTTGTTTGTTACTTTCTGTGAATTTGTTATTTAACTTTTCTGTTGAAGTACATACATGTACTTCACCTGGAGTAGACCTTCTGTTTTTTTGGGTTTTTTTTTAGTTGGAAGGCGCTTTATGAATATATGTGCCTGTTGTAACCTGTACTTTAGTAACACACTTTGAACAATATGTACATGTACAAGTATACCGGTATGTACATGTACATGTACATGTTCATATCTAGTACCATGCTAATAGATGTTTAATGTACATGTACTACAGACTGTACAGTCTCTGCTGTGCTTTTGTCCAAAACTATGTATCCTGTTTTGATAAATATCTTCATCTATACATGTATGTGCCTTAATAACACAGCTTGTGTTATACATTTGTTGTGGGGAAAGGAAACTTGAAATGTAAATTATTAATGATTTCTTTCAGTTGATGTTTATCTAGAATACATGTAGGTGAGATACCAGTAGGTGATCATAAAACTTCCCAGTACATCTTGGCCTTGTTTTTCAAACCAGGTTTGTCCTCTACACTTTCAAGTCACATCCAAAATTACCTTTTTTTGTGCTTTCAATCTGTGCTATTTTATTCACAAACTTTTGTACATATGTTGTCAATGTTGTTGGAATGTTTTCTGAATTTGTCTATCCATGATGAAATCCTAAAAATAAATGCTAATCACTCAAATGGAATGACTTACTAAAAATACATCTTCCCCATCAGAAAGAGAAATCTGGTCATCAAGATGAAGTACATAACATGAGTCTGTTGGGTGATGCAATAAGGGATCTGATTGATTCTTGTCACTTAGAGGAAACAGTCGCCATGGTAATTTATCACCTGTCTGGCAAGGCATGGAGACACACAATTGTTCATTTCCTTGTAGTCAATTCCATCTCTTGTATACAAAGTTATAGATGCTGGACCCTAGGGTTGCTTGTATTGGAACTTTCCATGGGTGTACATGTATGTTGGTACTGGTACATTTATCACCAGACATTGTATTAGTTACATGTATATTAGATGGTGTCAGCTACCACAAATTTTATTCATTTTTCACAAAAGTGTTGAAATTGCTTCAACAGAAATTGGTTTCTTTGTCCAAAATTGAACCTTTGATGTGCCATCCAAAGAGATTGAATAGAAACACAACATACATGTCCATGCACAATTCTACAGGTGTAGCAGTGGGGCTTTTTTAATTTGCCAGAAACAGAACTTGTTTATACTCTTGGTTACAAGAAGACTGTAAAGTTCATTAACTGGTTTAACTGGTTGAAAGGCCTACAGGTGTATGGCACATACAATTACAATGTATGTACAGTGTGTGAAGACTGGCGTGTAAATGTACTCAGCACTTGTTACCAGTATGCTATCCATGACACAACCTCTTCAAGTTTTCTTGATGAAGGCAAAGTTAGTGACTTCCTACTACAGTATAGTATCTAAAAATAAACTGCATTTGTGATGGACTTAAATGGATATCCTGAAGATAATCTGTACAAAGGCATTAAGTCAGGTACAAAGTCCCATCAACATTGAGGAAAATGAAGGAAAACACCCACATGTACAGGTATAGTGACTCAATTTTAATGACGCCTGAATAACATTGCACTGTAATACATGAATGCCCTGTAACAAAAGAGTTCCAAGAGTGATTGTTTGGAAATATGTTCTTTCTTTTGTTGTCTTTTAGTTCCTCTTGGGGGGGCGGTGGTGGATGTGTAACTTATCACCATACCTTTTCTACAATGAATACCTGTACATGTGCATAGGGTACTGGTACTTCTGCCTCATGTGTTGTCCATTCTAAACCTCTCCCCATCGTAAATTTTGATTAGTGTAATGTACCTGTGCAGTTGGACAGATTTTGTTTATCACACTAGATCTTCTATTAAGCCAAGTGAAGGCTGTTATTTCTATGAACGTACAGTACATGTACATGTAATTTATTTATTGTAGCAGCATATACATATCCATGTATGTATAGTACATGTACAGTACGTGCATGTAGCCTCTGTTTACATGTGAGACTGAGACAAGTTTTCCAAGAAGCATGTAATTATCAATTATCCAGCTCTTTCCACTGATTTGCAATTCCCTGGAGACCAGCATCAGAAATGAAGAAATCCACCAACTGGCTAAGTTGTCACATACATTTGTTGGTTTTCTTTGTTGTATGTCAACGTGTTCACTTGAAGATTTAATCTTGAGATTCCAAGAAATTTCATCCTGCTGAATGTCATTATTTGCTGATCAATTACATCGGAGCTCTTCTCGCGGTGTCTTCCCAGAAATGAAAGCTACATGTAGATGACCCTGGATGGCCTACATGTAGGTAGATGGGAACTGTTCTGTTATTGATATTGTACATGTAGGTTGGTTGGATTAAGGTTTGTTCCAAGAATTGGTCTGTGGTGAAGAGCAGACCAACAAATATTCTTGAAGGCTGTAACTCTTTCCCCTGACTTAAGTCATTTATTTTCTTGTATTCACATGTTAAGACACCTTAAGTGTCACTAACACACCTACATGTACATGCACTGTATGTATCGTTCTTTTGAGGGCTAAATTACCCTATGCATGAAGTCTGATTTTGCCTTGCCCAGTTAATTAAATGCGCATTTGCTAAACAGTGCAAATAATTGTAAACATACAAATTATAACACTTTTGTGGGAGAATTGCTTTTTTTTGGACTTGGAAAATACTATAGTGTCTGTCTAAATCTTCATTGCAGACATCTTGACTTCAACAGAATTTTGTTCCTTGATTCATTGGGAAAATAAATGAATGTTTCGTTTCATCCTGTCTTCCATCTTTCATTCCACCAGGTCCTAGCCAGATGCTTTCTTCTGATGCTCCAAACACATTGCCATTTCTTCCGGTCAGCGGCCGATGTCTTCTCTCCCCTAGGTGGCTATGAGGAGGTGGAAGATGTATTGATCGGTGAACGATGTGAAGACCGAGTAAGAGAGGCCTGTAGCACATGGATAGCTGTGTCACAGGTCAGTGTAAGGGGGTATGTCTTAAGTGGCCTAAATCACAACATTGAACTCACCCTGTACATGTACATAATCAAGAGGCCACTCTTGTGAATGTTTATTTGTTCCGAGTATTATTCCATGTAATAAATAAGGCTCTGTGAATAAAAGTGTCTTTGTATCATATTTGTCTTTTTATAAATAAATTATTTTACATATGTCATTTGGAATACAAGAAACGTTTACATAAAATGTGTTTGTTCACCACATGCGAGTCAATTTTTGTACATCCGACATTTTGATTTGGTAGTGTTTTGGAAAATTCGTCATCGTTTGTCTACTGCTTATAGTTTGGAAAGCAAATACTGCAACATCTGTTATCTCGTTACGGTAGACTAAATTGAAATGCCTGTACTGTAAAAAGATATTTGAAGAAGAACTTGGATTGAAAATGAGTTTGTAAAGGAGTCCATGGCAAACTCCTTGGAAGTAATGCCCAAGATCATCCCTGCTGTATCAATTACTTTGTGGTGGATTAGCGACAGAGTTATAAGTCCAATAATGATTCTTGAGGGAGGCATTGTCATGTGGTATTGAGTGAAGCGGCAGCTGACTTGATGGAAGAAGAGATTAATGACCAGGGAATTCAAGAAACCATTCAATCAAAGTGCCTCATGGACTAAGACTAAGTAGAATAACAGAATTAACTACTGTAGGAGTGCAAAGCCAACTCGGAGAGTTGTGTCTTGTAGTGGACGTCTGGTGACCAGCTTTGCTTTTTTTCAAATCTTGGTCATGGTGAATAGTTACAATTTTTGACATAGTTGAAAATTTATTCTGAGAAGTGAAATGCATTGCAAATCAAAGAAAGTGTCAGGTTTGTTAAACTTGTAATGAAATTTGTAAGGTTCAGTTTTAAACACTTTATTTCTTCTCATGATAGATACTGGAACACTTCAACAGATTGATATCTGCTTTGAGGAAAACAGGTGAAAAGCTCGGTGCTTGTTCTAGATCAGAAAACTATCAGTTTATAGTTGAATTTGTTCACTTGATGATTGTAGGCAACCAAATCACTTCGGACAGGGATGACCCTCACACCAAAGGAATGTCAGTTGTTGGAAGAAGCTCATCACCGTAGAGGTCAACAGGTTGATTCCAAGGTGTCAGAGGTCAAGCAGAAGTTGGAAATTCAATCATCGGTATGTTCATGCAGATCAGAACCTAAAAAAATGTTCATATTGTGTTCTCTAGATATCTTGTCCTCACTAAAACTTTGGGTATTCCAATTCCTCATGAGGTGACAAATTTCCTGCAGGCATTCTGCAGGTACCGGGACAGTAGCATACATTGCCATAACAATGGAATATCCACAATAATCCACAAGGTGTCCAAAACATCCTTGCACTAAAAACATTTACATTGCAAGCAGTTTCTAAGATTCTCAATGTTACATGTATGTCCTGACAATTTTTTGATGAGGTGGTTTGTACTGACCCTGTATTGACCTTTGTGACTACTTCATGCAGGCATACAAGCAGGTATTATCCGAACTCCCTCGTACAGAGTTTACCTTGAATGGTGGCTTCCATCTCCAATCACAGTGCTCCTCACTCATATTGCATGGTTGCTGTAGCAACACAGAGTCTAATCAGCTCCTTAGCAACCAATCAAACAAGCTCTTGCATCAGGCTATGCCAGCCGAAGAGAGCCAACCGCAGCAACTTGCAACAGAGGAATTGAGGGCGCTGTTACAGACAGACCTTCAGGATGTATCCTTGCAGGTTGAAGGATCACCTTGTCAAGTGTCCCAGAATCCCGAAGAAAACTTGAAGTCAAAATTGGTGAGTCATATCTCTGCCAAAGCTTGCATCAGTTTGTCGGATGTTTTCCTCCACCTTAATTGTTTGGGAAAATCAGCAAAATCAGTGATTCTATCCAATTATGTCGAATCCAATGTTTAGATAATAACGTTTTAAAATGACCAAGATATATGTACCATGATTTGGGCCATGTACCAAGTAAAGGCAACAGACAATAAATTCATTCAATTACTTCAATTTTCCTACATAAAGGTAAATATATTTCTCGGTTAGTGTAATTTTACATTTGTTAAAACATTTTCAGGGGGTGTGGTTTTGGGTGTTTTTATGGGGGGTCTGTACAAAACCAGTAAGTCTTACAAATGTGCCATAGGGCATTGCACCTTCGAAACTTACAGACATGTACATAAAACATACATGAATGACAATAATATGTACATGTAACACTTACAAACAGAGAAAATCTGGGGTAGATATTCCAGGGAAAAATCCATACACTGTACATCGGCCTGAGTGGGATTCAAACCCAGGTCACAGAGTCGAAAGTTGGGGGGGAAGTATCATCGCACCAACCAACTTGACCTGGTTCATCATTGTCTCACCACTGTCTATGGTCACATGACGTCACTGATTCACATCTACTCACTCTCTTTCTGCTGTGCAGCAAGCAGTTAAAAACCTGGTGAAGGAAACATCCTTGCAGCTCGGTGTTGGAGCAAACAAAGAAAAGATAGCCCTGGGATTACTTACCGAAGCCTGCCCATCAGTAGCTGAATTCCAAAGCAGACTGGCTGTACAACTCATCTTTGGCAGAGCCAATGTGGTGAGACACGAACTCCTTAAGGTTTAGAGTAGATGTATGAAGGGAACAGTTAGTCACAACCAGACAGTCTCATGCCAACCATTGCAGGGATTGATTTTGTAAATTAGTAGTGTCTGAGTTTTTACATCTGACAACAGCCCAGTTGAAAATGGGGTACAAATTCCACTACATTTCCCTCAATCAAGCCTCTTCTATGTTTGGCTAGGAACCCCTGCCAGCCACCCATCCACTCTGTAAGGGTGTGTATTGGTGATGAGGCTATACCCTGCCTGG